TTTTTTATTTTTTACATACTTTCTTAAGTTAGAAACATAAAAATGTTGATTTGATATTTATATTTTTTTAAACAAATGAGAAATATTTTTTTTATTTTTAGACTTCTGATACTAATATGAATTTATTAATTTCTCAATTTTTTTATTATTTATGTAATATATTTAAGTTAGAATTGTAATGAATAGACATCCTTAACACTTGAAATTGTTATTTTTGAATGCAAAGATACACCATAGTCTTGAAAATAATACAAATTAAGACTGAGAAAATTATTTTCAAAACTGTTTTTACTTGAACTCAATCAATAAGTATAATATGGATTCTCGATACCTAACTTGTAATTTTCGATGAGTCATAAAATGAAAAATTCACTTGAAATAAATTACACACTAGGTTTTTTTAATAAATATTATTTTTTCTTCACTTTAAAATGGGGTTTAATTGTATTCGTTGTATTGCAATTTACAAACAAAATACATTACCCAATTAATTTATAATACAACTTGAAATGAAAAACTATAATAAATAACGTGCCTGTAAATTAAGAATTTCATCAATAAATGAAAAAAAAAAATCATTAACTTATTGAATTCATTTTGATTTACCTACAATATGTATTAGTCGAATTCTGATGGAAATGATACAATTGATTTTATATAGTAAATACAAAATGAGAATGGATTTAGTTATATTAAAACGTAAATTTAACATTGTGGACAAATATTAAATATAAGAATATTGAAAATATTCTATTCATCTTAAACACATATCTATGTCAATAAGTTACATTAATGTTCATAAATATTAAATATATTTTCATAGGCGCGTTTTATTCCCAATAGAAAAATACACAAATTAACGCAAATTGTTATTTATTCTTAAATTTGTATATTGTTATAATTATTTTTGAAGAATATTTTACAAAAACTTTATTTAAGAATTTAGGTAGATATTTAATACGTAGAAACCCAAAGCTAAAATTTGATAAATAATAATTTAACTGTCGAAAAACATATTACAATATGTGGGTGATCATAAGGTTGATAATTAGAAAAAATTTAATATATATTTTTTAGTAGTTACACGACTAAAAATATATTTTTTTTCTTTATTTATATCCATACATTAAATGTAAAAATTAAACAACAGTAATATGCATTGATGGAGAATTCTCAGAAAATTAAACGTGAAGTGAGGCAGGATAGAATTTTGTTTTCAGTGTTATTCAATAAATATTCGGAATTCATCTTTCGTAAAGTTCTAGAAGGTCGAAGATGGCATTAAAGTTAACGGGTTGAATATAATACGTACCTCACTGATGATGCAGTAATTTTTAAAAATAACATTGTTAGATACAATTAGGAAATAGGGTAGTAGAAGTAAAGTAAAAGAAATAAATTGCATGACTCTAATTATAAATAAAACGAAGTTTATAATAGTATCAAGGAATTACAATTTAGGACAGTTAATAAATAAAAAATTAACCTACAGAGCAACTTAAAAAATTCATTTGCTTAGAATAATGTGAAGATTAGAATCGTTTATAATAAATAAAATTGAAAATTGAAAAACTTAGTGAAGCATTTCGAAAAATTTCGAAAGTATTCAAGTGTTAATTCTGTCTTTTGGTAGAAAAATCAATGTTAAAATGTTATGTATTCTCTACATTATCATACGAAATCAAAAATTGGACACTGACAGAGTTAAAATGCAAGAAAATCAAATTATTTGTTATCATAAAAGCGAATGCTAAATTTCATAGACAGTTCCGTATTACTAATCAAAAAGCTCTAGAAATAATCGAAAAATAAAAATAACTATTAGCAACAATAAAAGCTCTGGAGCTAGAATACATGAGATACATCATTATGAATATTCAATAACACAAAATATTTAAGCTTATATTACATGAAAAGATCGAAGAAAAAAGACTAATGTCTTTGTTAAAGAATCTCCACTGGTCTAAAAAATACATCAATTAATCTATTTCGAACATCACCTAATAAGAATAACATTGCGATTAAGATGCATCTGAAACGGATATGCACTCATAGAAAAAGATGAAATGTAAAATCCAAGTCTAGGAAATGTTGGTAGTTTATTAATAATCTTAAAAAATCACTTGGTTTGCCCAACTCAATGTCGTTTTACTATAAGGCAGCTGATAATGGTCAAGATATTATTGACTTATTTAGTCAATACTTCTCTTCAGTATATAAAGATACAGTTCCTACAAATATTATTTTCAGTCTAATATGATTCAATCTATTGATTCATTAAATTCGCTCCATATTGAACTCTTAGTCTTAGTCTATAATAAATTAGATATTTTGTCTTACAAAAATGTGATTGGTCCTGATGGTCTCTCTCCTATATTTTTATTTAACTACAGATTTAGTCATTCTCCACCTATCACATATTTCTTTAATTTATATTTAAGTAGTGACTCATTTTCATCGTCTTGGAAATCCACCAGTATAAGTCTGATTCTTAAATAAGGTAATAAATAATTAATTTCGAAAGTTCTATATCAATACTCGTAATTTTTATCCTCCCAAAAATATTTTCTAAAATAATAAATGATAAATTTACGCCTATATTTAAAAATATTGTAGCACCACAATAACATGGATTTCGTAACAATAAATCATATCTTACTAATTTAATAACTATTGTTACATATTATTAATGTCTACTCATGTAATATGGATATTGCTGAGTAGACATTACGTTAATTTACATGTTTACGACATTACATTAAGTCACGGCAGTTTTACCACGACGTTCATCCGATGTAGCTGAACTCCATATTGTCTTGATGTAGTCCATAGTCCATAAGTCATATTTATACATGTATATTAAATAATAATAACTAAACTAAATCAATCTACATTTATTTTTAATATTAAGATCTTTCCTTTTATGCACCCGAGCCACGGTATAATATATTCACAAGAACTAGAAAACCTTCTCTGAATATCATATATTTAACTGATCATCCCTAACCACATTACATATTGATGGAGGCGCCGTAACCATAGAATTACAAATATTTGGGATTGGTTTAGATTTTTATTAAATAGTAGTTGTTAAATTATTTTGTATAAGTGTACTTTTAGTAAAAATTAAATTTAGAGAAGTTTAGAGAGTTGTTTGGTGAGAATTTATGAGATTTAAGTATTGAAGATAATAGTGTAGAGAAATAAAAATAGTAAAAGTGTTGTCTTATTGTGAATTTATAATTTTTTTATTACAAAAAAAAAAAAAAAACAGTATTGAGATTTATAGATTTAATTTATTACATTTATATAACTGTTGTATTGCTAATTTCATAGTTTTATAACAATTTGATTTCTTTAAAGTTTAAATAATTAAAAATGTCTTCAAAATGTTTGAAAATCATTTTAACTTTATTCTTTTGAAACTATGTATTTTAATAATAAAACAATTGAACATCATGTAAAATTGTTTCTTAACAAGGATAAACCATAAAAATTATGTTATTATCATTATTATGAATATATATATTTTTTTTAAAGTGATAAAATACATTTCAGATTTGGACAGAACTAATATAAATTAAATATAGAATGATAAAATATCGAAAGGCTTTTTTTATTTATGGATTTTGTTTTAACACACGAGTATTATATTATAATTTAATTATATGAAATAATGTAATGTAATTCATCTTGAAACCAAACTCTACATTTAAAAAATATTGCAACAAACCAAATTATTGTATTCAAAATGTGATATATATATAAAGTAATATGAGTATGTAATTATAATATTTAATAATATTCATAAGTACATAAATTACATAAATAAAAATAGCCTATCGATAATTTCCCATCAGGGGATCTCCATGTACGTTTATGTACTTCTTTATGAGAAAACATAGTGCCCTTAATCTTTAGTCCTCTCCCTGTAGCTAGGTCAATCAGTCTGCATCCATTATTATTCGAAGTTTGATGTAGGTTATGCATGCTTATAGTTGGTCTGAAACATTCTTCTCTGCCAATTTTTACGTTAAAATCTTCTAGTACAATTATTATATATCCTCTGAGAAAATCCTCCAGGCTGGTTTCTAGAAGCAAGTAGAACTCTTATTTTTCTTTGTCATTTTTCTCCTCTGTAGGTGCATGTGTATTAACAAACGCTATTTTAAACCATTTATTCTCTAATATTACCACCGTCCGTCTAGGGTTAATCACCTTGAAGTCTTTTATTGCCGTTAGTAGATATTTACGTACAGCAAAGCCGCTTCCACATTGCCTATGATTATCACAACGGCCACAGAATAAAGTTGTATTTTCAATTTTCAATGAGCCTTCCTCAGCATATCTTATTTCCTGTAATGCTAATATGCCTAATTTGAATCTCTCAGCTTTATTTACTACCGCTAGTGATGTTCCTGATTGATAAAATGTACGTATGTTCCAAGTCCTAAAGCGTAAAGCCGATTTCTATTTTTCCATTTTTAACTCCACTATTCCGAGGCAATTTGTTAGATTCCCGAACAATGGTTTTTTTACTAGGCCGGATTGTTAGCCCCAGGCTCAACACCCAACCTGGAGGACCAGACCACATTGACTTTTGCATATCAATCTGGTGGCTATTGCAGTGCATCTTAAGATGCACTGGACGATGGGGACGCCAATTTCCCAGCACCAATCAAACGTAGAACGTATCTCTTGTAATATGAGTATATTATGTACTCGTAATAATTCCATAAAATATTTACAAATGTTCAAATAACATTTAAACTCTTTGAATATTTATTTATCCATCAAACTTCATAGTTAAATTTAAATTTGTTAAAAAAAAGAACTATTTAAACGATTAAAAAAAAAATTGTTTCTATCAGATTAAACAAAAAAAAACAATGATAACAACACGAATAATAAAATAATAAAGCCAACATTTTTATACTTCATTATGATAAACTAGAAGCATAACGTGTTATACAATATTACTGTTGTATATAAATAATTACCTCTTCTTTTTCTCCCAGAGAATCACCATTTTCAATTCGGAACCTTCTACCACCTGGATCTTGACCAGAAGCATCCAATTGAGGTAACTGCAAAAATATGACAAAATCCGGTTACTTGAAATAATTGTATAAGGTGTACAGTATACTGGTAAATTTCAAACGAGTAATCATAAAATAATAATTATTAATTATCATACATAACTATAAAGTACATAAAACAGTTCTTACAATGTGTTTATGTGTTTAATTATAATGTGTTAAATAATCACATGTGTGAATATTTTGTGTTTTAATTAATGAACAATATAATAACAGCAAAAGTGAACTTAAAAATGATAAAACATAATAATATAAAATATTTCGACTAACAAGCATTCACTTTACAAATAACGCAAACGTTAATTATAAAATATAATAAAATCAGTAGTACCATGTTCTAGGGCCGTAATTCTTTGTATTTTTTTTTTTTTTTAATAGTACTTTATAGTAAAATATAAGATATTAATTCTAAGTACATTCGTTTGTATATGCATATATATATGTTACCGGCAATATGGATAATTCAGGTATTTTGCAAAGTGCCTAGGCATTGTGTAAATTACCGACCCATTTTTGGCAATGTAAATAAAACATATGATTTTCAATATTATTTTACATATAACCTAGATATTTTATTAAGTACGTTATGCAAAATGTTAATTTTTTTTAGGCAAAGTACAAAACATTTTATTATTAGTTATATTATATTAATATTCTTATAATTATTATTCATTATTACTCATATTACAAACAAAATTTAATTTTTAATTTTTATCTATTATTTTATTATTACTATAATATAAATATTTTACTCAAACTACTATTTACTTATTATAACATGTTGTAGAAAAGTGAAATTTTGGAGTGCACAAAATATTATTTTTAAGAAAATACAGTTTTTATTTTGACACTTGGACTTACAAACATATTTTAAAAATCCTTGGACAATTCTTGTGGATTGAATTTTTATTAATTCATTATACTGTTAATCAGATAAAAAAGTAGTATTAGTGGCCAAATTTTTTAAAAAATGTTGTAGTTTGTTATAAAAATTTGTATTCATATAAATCGTATCCATAGTATTGCAACACCATAACGAGACACAAAAATGACGATATTGTAATTAAATTATTAGTACGTTCAATATTGTACCTTAGAATTATTATTATAGTAGTAAAAGAATAATAATATTTATTGTGTTAAATCTTGCACGTATATTTATAATAAACGATAAGTAAAGTTATTGGTAATACACGATGATTAATTTTGTTTGTTTTCATCATATTGCATACTCCACGTTTGGCATTATTCATAATACCTAGGCAAAGCTCGTTTTATGTATATTGCCGAGTGATTTTTGGCATTTTGCAAAATACCGGATTATCTATATTACCGGTAACATATATATATAAATATAACTCAAAAATCATCGTGTTTTGTAAACTTTCAATCGAGTTTTCAAATCATTACACTGTGTGTTCGCACGTTGTTCGTCGATAAGCGAGACACATGATAAACACTTAATATATATTGAATTCGTTAACAAGTTCCGCTGTGTTTGGATGGACCACTTTACTTTTAAGGGTATGATACAGAAGCCCAAAAATTCAATAAAGCAATATTAAACAGCAGTTGAATAAATTGTCAGGCTCAAAAAGCGCTGTGTGTTGTCGAATCAAATATATATTTTCCAGCACGAAGATAGTCGTATAAACAGTAATACAGACTACTGTTAAGGGGCCTCGCTATAGCATTTATTTAAGGAGCAACATTTAGGCAATTTCTAATCACATCGTCGCCACTCGAGATCTATGTGATAGTTGTAAATGTTTATTAGTGTGGTGTGGTGTCAATGCGGGTACCACTTCTTTTCGTACCATCATCCAAGTAGTCGTTCATTGTAATTGTTATCGCAGTATACCATATTTGTTGAATTGTAATTATCGAAAACTAGGTACCCATGTTTTGATGTACAACAGTAAATATTAAAAAAATTAGCTGCAAATAGTTTGCAGTGCAAAGTAATTTGTACTATTATTTATATTATTTTGGTTCATGGTGATCTCTTATTCTCTTTATGAAACCTTTGTGGGTTTTTTCATTTCAAATTTTAGTTTTCATTTTACATTTAGAATTAATTTTTCTAATTACAATAGCTAACTAATCTTTACAGAAACTAACAGGGCTCAAAATAGACAGGAACGCGGTTCACGAAAACATTTTTTTTAGCGATCCGGTTCGTAAAAAAAATACGTTTATCGTTTCGGTTAAAACAAATTTTTAGTGTACCTACCATATTTTGGTAAAATTTAAACATTTTGCAGAATTGTTCATAGTAAAATATTTAATAAACGTCAAACGACCGCGATTTATAAGTACATTTATTGCTTATCTATACGATAATCGCCGTCCGCCGATAATGTATTTTTGTTTTATTTACATAATAGTATGTGAATTTTAAAAGTTAAAAATAAAGCATTAGGTTGTTTGATTTTTAAAAATATAAAAAATTTTGAATTATCTGTTGTTGCATGACTTTGATTTTCCAAACCTTATTTTAGTTTTTAGAATTATTAATAAAATTGTAAAAACTTAAAGGCCTATTGTTGATTTACTGAATGAAATAGATAATAGATTAACAAGTTTTAAACGGTATGAATATGCGAAAAATTTTACACCTTGATAAAACGTCAGTGGATTTAGAATTCTTTTTAGCACTTTATATAACATCAGAGATGAAAAAAAATGATTTGCCAAAAACAGTATAAAATAATAGGTACAACTTATGTAATAAAAATGGCTTAGTATTTCAGGAAAGGGAAATTATAATTTTGGTGGGTCAAATCTCCTAACTCTATGGTATGTACTAAAAAAAAAGAGTTCTTGTTCAGAAAATTTTCCATTTCGAGCACTGGAAACAAAGCTGAATAGTGACTGAATAATTCAAATTTGAAACATAAAACGATAATAAAATATAACATCCAATGTAGGTAATAGACAAGGTTTATAGATTATAATCTATAAACCTTGGGTAATAGGTATATAATATCGAGTGCATATGAATTCCGCCACAAGTATTTTTTTTTTTACTGTAAACACAGCCACAAAAAAAAAAAAAACAGGTAAAATTGGGTTCATGTAAACTCCACCACTGAAAAAATCAGGTAAAATTGAGTTCAAGTAAACTCCGCCAGTGAAGAAAATCAAGTAGTAGTATAAAATCAATACGATATCTTATCAAAAATAATTATAATATAATATATCATATCGTTCGCATTATACAGGGTGTTTCTAGAATGGATGAGGACACTAGAATAAGCGTAATCATTATAATGGCCCAAATTCCAATTCTAGTTGCAAGGTCGGCTGCCTTGTCAGCCATTTCGTTGCCGGTTATGCCTGTATGGGGTGGTATCCACATAAGTTCAATGTTTTTAGAGATCGATTTTAATACTTCTTGGATATTTTGGGTGATTTCATTTGTGGGTTGAGGGTTTTGAAGGGCAAGTAAAGCACTGAGCGAGTCGCTTAAAATTAGAATATTATTTGAGATGATGGTCTAGGCTAATATGGTAGCTTCGTAAATGGCTTGTGTTACAGCAGAGAATATGCATGTTTCTGATGGTAGTTTATGAAGCAGAGTAATATTATCTTGGGAAATTGCAAAGCCGACTCCACGTGCGGATTTAGATACATCCGTGTATATTTTCGTGAAATGAGGGTATTTAGTTTAGATAATATCATAGAAAAGAAAGATGATAGTATTAGGATTTGTGTCGTGTTTGCTTTTGTTGTAAAACCTCAGAATTTACATAGATTTGCCAAAGCCAATTGGGGTAGTTAGAATATGTGATTTTGATTTTTGTAGATGTCCATATATTAAGATTATAAATAAGCTTGAAGAAGATATCATGTATGGGCGGCAAGGGTTTTTTTATTAAGGCTATTCTATTTGAGATTTGGTTGTTGAAGAAGATGTTGTATCCTAAGTGATTTAGTGTGCTTTTCCTTTTAATTCCATAGTTTAAGAGTTTTTTTCTCTGAATAGGATGAGGGGTAGTTCACCGGCATAGCATAAAGTGCTGACAGTGGAACTGGTTCTGAAAGCTGTTGATAAACGAATTCCTTCGTTGTGGATGGGGTCTAATATTTTTAGGAGATTTTAATTAGCTGTAATGTAAAGGAGGCGTAATTACGAGTAGTGTTTTTTGTGGTATTATTTGTATGAATTTCTGGGCTGTTGACAATACTCTCGATAGTCGCCAAAGGTGATGGTGCTGATTGTGACTGAGTAGGTATGTAGGGGGTGGCGGTAGTGGATGTGGTTATAGGCATATTATTTGGACGACGAGATAGAGTAGATTGTGTGGTAGATATGTTTGTAGGTTTGGTAGTTTATATTAGATTTGTTTTATTTAAAGTTTTAGTCGATATTGGTTTTATAACCGGTGATAAAGACGGTCGGCCTGTCTTATTAACGTTGCTCATTATGAGATAAGATGGGTAATTACACAATACTATTATATTACTCGTATAATGTGAGTGTCCAATGGTGTGCTATCGGGAGTTATAAAATGCGCACTCGCGAAAAGATAAACATGTGTTACACGGTCGGCTGTCAGACACTTGTATTACCTTTTTATCTTAATCGATATTTTGGTGGAGTTTACAATCGCCCAGGTATATAATATTATTGTCGGGGCACGGAAATATAACTATTTGCTAACATTATTATAGGATACCACGAAATAACGTATCTAATTATATTACACTTTATAGATTCATTATCTTGACGCGGCGCGGTAGCTGTACGGAGGGCTCTCCACGCACTCGCACACACATGTCATAGCGTAATATTGTAATCTCGAACAAATGTTCATTTTTCACTCTAACATACGATTCTAATTCAAACAATACGACGCAATGATTATCTCGATTTGCATTCTGAAAAAAACATTTTCTTTTTCCATAACATGTACGAGGGATCAATCGAGGCACATTTTAAAAATTGTATTTAATTAATTAAATATTTAAGTTTTAAATTCCGT